ATTATATTCTTACTGGTGACTTTAATATCAATCTTATTCCAACCAATCACCTATCAACATCAACTTCAAGATCAGATTCCTCTGTTTCAATTTTGTTGGACAAGCTGTTATCCCTAGTTAACACGCAAGTTCTCACTGGCATCTCTTTCATTCATATTTTCTCTCAAATGACAAGAAATAATCACCTACTTCTCATCAAACTAGATTACATTTTTCTCTCTCCGGACTTAGCATCTAGAAAAATCCAACTGTCTACTTTAGCTGACAACTCAGATCATTTACTTCTCTTGGCAAAACTTACTGGCAAATTCTCCATCAATCACTCTACTCTCTGAAAACTTAACAACCATATCATTAAAGACTCTCTTCTAATGATCTCTGTAGCAGATATCATCCATAACTCCAACAACTGGGATCATGGCAAACAAGAAGTCTCCTTCTTTCTACAACAACAGTCAAGAAAATCTGCCACTAAAAAAAAATACCTCATCAATAGGCTTCAACGATGTATTTTAGGCTACCAAAAAACTCTCGTACTCATTCCTAATGTCGATAATATTCGCTCTCTTCTGAAAAAGGAAAAGATTGAATTAAACTCCCTCATAGAAGAAAACTTCCGAAAATAGCAAATCAGATCCAGAGCTAAATAGACCGAAAAGGGTGAAAAATCCACCAAGTACTTCTACTCCAAATTTATAGAACGTCTGAACAGCTCCCCCTCTCTTCTCATCAAAGATCCTTCAAACTTCTCAATCACTAATTAACAAACAACTCTTAATTATATTGGATAATGGTACCAACACTTATATTCGCAAGATGAAGTTTCCTCTTCGGACATATCAGATCTTCTCACAAACATCACACCTTTTCCAGATAATAATGATGACATTATTGCTCTCATCACTCACGATCTTATCAAATCCACTATAATGAGCCTACCCAACAACAAGTCTCCAGGCCCAGATGGTCTGACCTATGAATTCTACAAGTCTGCCTTACCATACATTATTGACTCTCTTTTTTCCCTATTCAACACCATTCTTTCTAATGGCATCATTCCAAGTTCATGGACCAGATTACTTATTACTCTCATATCAAAAAAAGATAATGACAAAACTCTGGTTCAGAATTGGAGACCTATTGCTCTAATCAACACTGATGTAAAGATCTTCCTCAAGATTTTGGTGAAACGGTTAGCCAAAGTTGTGGGTCATCATCTCCTACATCATCAAAAAGGCTTTCTTTCTAAAAGAAATACCATTGACGCCATCTTAAACATCTTAACAGCCACTGAGATTCTCAAATCTTATACCAACACCCCCACATATCTACTTCAACTAGATTAACAGAAGGCTTTCGACAGAGTGAATCATCAGTATCTCTCAAAAGTCTTAGAACACTTTGGTCTCTCACTTATCTTTATTCAACTAGTTAATAATATCTTCAGCCAACAATCAGCCAACATCACTGACAATAAACATTTATCCAATAAATTCAAACTAGAAAGAGGAGTCCAGCAGGATGATCCGCTCTTCCCTATTTTATTTGCTCTCTCAATAGAATCACTCCTTGCAACTCTGTCCTCCTCTTCTTATCAAATCAACAGTTACCTTGATAATAATCAGGCCTATGCAGATGACACAACTATTCTAGCTCTGAGTAATTTACATTTAGACTTCATTTGCGATACTATCAAGAAATATGAAAGAGCCTCTAATGCAAGAGCCAATCTCAATAAATCAGTTCTTATCCCACTAAATGACCTTGCCAAAGCCAACATACATTCCTTACAAAATAAATACCAGTTCACTATTCCTAATCATAATGCTGATATCAACATCCTGGGCTTTTACTTCAATACCAACTTTACAATGTATCATTCCACCTGGCCTACGCTGATCAAGAAACTTGAAAAAAAACTCTTTCTTTTGAAAATTAGAGATATCTTCCTCAAAGGCCGTGCCTTAACAGCAGGCTCTCTACTGGCTTTCAAAATCTGATACACATCCTATATTTAATGTGACAAGTAGATACTATACAATCTTTATTAAACAGATGGACCAGAGGTGATTCTAAATCTCTCCCCTCTTCCGCTATCATTCAACTTCCAAAAAATAAAGGTGGCTGGAATCTTCCTAACATCAAGTCTGCCGTCAAAGCTCAGTCAGCCATGACAACCGCCAAACTTTTTCATGCCAAAGAAAATTGGGTCAAACACCAACTCTCCATGATCAGCTCTTTTCAAAACAACTTCAATAAAATCCATCTTCAATACAAAAAGAAAGACTGGCCAACAGCCTACCGACCCATTGTAAAAAATTGGTTTCTGGCAGATAGACCAAATTTCCTTGCTTCCTCTACCTCCCTCATCACTACCAAATTAAAAAAAGAAATATATCTCAAAAAAGTATGGCTGGAAGTTAAAAATGTGTTATGGAAAAATCTGGGCATAATTAACCTTCCCCCACAGACTCACGTGAACACATGGAGATGACATCATAGTGTACTACTCCTGAAGGAACGGGTCTCCTGGTCTTCCTCCATCGACTTTATCTTCTGTTGATGGTGCCTTACATCTTCTCAAATGCACCAACACTTTCTTCAAGAATGCTCATTCACCAAGATGATTATTCAAGAAATTGTACGTCACCTCGACGGATGCGTTACCTTTATCCATATCCTAAATCAACATCCTAATAACTTCTCTCTCGCTACTCTCTGGCTCTCCTCCTGGCTTATTGATTACATTTGGCGGGCTTCTGCTAGACTTAACCTCAATATCGAAGAGTCTGAAACTCAAATCATAAAAGCAGCTCCGCATATTCTCCTCAGAGATGCTAAAATTCACCTAGATAGTTCCCGAAATAATAAATTTACCAAACAAATAGACCTACTATGTAAATCACTTGTATCTTAATTCCATATCGTGCATTTATTCAATAAACGGATTCTTGCTTCACCCTCCCTTTTTGGGAAAAAAAAAAAAAAAAAAAAAACTTAATTCCTAATCAAAATGCTATTTATATTCAGATCTTGCGATTTGATTGGTTTACCCCCCTAAAAAAGTCATGTGACCGACAAATTTTCAAGTTTGCTACCGACCCAAATTTTTTAACAAAATTCGAGTCGGTTCGAGTTGGTACAAGTTGGTTAATTAAAAGGTCGAGTCGAGTTCGGGTTATATGACCGACAATTTTTATATTTTTCAAGTTTGCTACCGACCCGAATTTTTAACAAAATTCGAGTTAGTTCGAGTTGGTACAAGTTGGTGGTCGAGTCGAGTTCGGGTTATATGACTGACAAATTTAGTATTGTTCAAGTTTGCTACCGACCCAAATTTTTAACAAAATTCGAGTTGGTACAAGTTGGTTAATTAAAGAGTCGAGTCGAGTTCGGGTTACATGACCGACAATTTTTATATTTTTCAAGTTTGCTACCAACCCAAATTTTTAACAAAATTCGAGTCAGTTCGAGTTGGTACAAGTTGGTTAGTTAAAAGGTCGAGTCGAGTTCGGGTTATATGACCGACAATTTTTATATTTTTCAAGTTTGCTACCGACCCAAATTTTTAACAAAATTCGAGTTAGTTCGAGTTGGTACAAGTTGGTGGTCGAGTCGAGTTCGGGTTATATGACCGACAAATTTAGTATTTTTCAAGTTTGCTACCGACCCAAATTTTTAACAAAATTCGAGTCAGTTCGAGTTGGTACAATTAAAGGGTCGAGTCGAGTTCGGGTATATGAACGACAAATTTAGTATTTTTTAAGTTTGCTACCGACCCAAATTTTTAACAAAGGTCGAGTCGAGTTCGGGTTATATGACCGACAAATTTTGTATTTTTCAAGTTTGCTACCGACCCAAATTTTTAGCAAAGGTCGAGTCGAGTTCGAGTTGGTACAAGTTGGTTAATTAAAGAGTCGAGTCGAGTTCGGGTTACATGACCGACAAATTTAGTATTTTTCAAGTTTGCCACCGACCCAAATTTTTAGCAAAATTCGAATCAGTTCGAGTTGGTACAAGGTCGAGTCGAGTTCGGGTTATATGACCGACAATTTTTATATTTTCAAGTTTGCTACCGACCCAAATTTTTAACAAAATTCGAGTCAGTTCGAGTTGGTACAAGTTGGTTAATTAAAGGGTCGAGTCGAGAGCGGGTTATATAAATGCTAACCCGAGTATTTATATATTTTAATTTTTATACTTGGGTCGAATACGAATATGTCCAAAACCCGACCCGATTCGACCCTTCGGAGCACTAATTGCTTGTAAGTCAACAATTTTTGAGCTTTTTGCGAATTGAAAAGTTATGATATTTATCACGCCATAAAAGATGATGTTAACTAAACTCACTAACCCATTATTAATTATATTTCACACGATCTAATGTTTTGATTCATGATGTAATGGATATGCGAATAACGTAACTATATAAATTAAGCTAAGATGTGGCTATATTTATTGACAAATATAGTGTGTCATGCGCAAAAATTTGCAGTTATTAATATGTTGTACTTCAAATAATTAAAAGAAAAGTCTAGTCAATCGCAATATATTCATTGCAGACTCGACAGAAAGAAATCCTATCTTTTTCGTTCCACAGTCTCCACAAACCACATATCCACATCATAATACGCACATCCCGTTCTCCATTCCATGATTGCATCTAGAGCAAATCACAATCATATCTGTTGTGAATTCTTCACGTGGTGATGGTGAATATTCTTCAGTTTGAGAACGTATCTGGCCGGATAAATAATTCTTCGCGAATTTCTGCTTGAATTTCCATGATATTTGGCTCTATATTATCATAATCGAGCTCCTCCTCATTATCATAATTGAGCACCTCCTCATTATCATAATCGGGTTCCGCCTCATCTGAAATGTATATTATTTTCAGTTTGTCCCTCATTTTCCTCGTTCTCTTCATTGTCATCCACGAGATCAATATAGATACGTTGTATCGCATTCTGAGTGTCATTTTGAGAAGATGAGTTATTGGAATTCTCGGGTTGAACTTGCTCTTCACTGTCACTCAATTCAATTACTTCAGGAGAGGGTGCTGATTCTCTATTATTCATCGATGTTTCCCCATCCACAATATCAATGTAGATGGGTTGTACAAATTTTGGGTATAATTTTCAGGTTGAATTTGTTCATTATTTTTCTCCTTTTTACTGTCACTCGATTCAGTTACCTCCTCAACCGTAGATGCTGGTTCATTACTATTCATCGACGTTTCTCCTGCTTCTTCAACGCTGAAGCTAATTACGTCGCTCCGACCCGAATTTTAAAACTTGTCGTTCGTGGAATTTTATCGCCTCTACGATTTCGTGCCATTCCAGTGTTGTTGTATGCTTTGTGGCTGAATTCGCTTACCACTTCTTGAATTCTATAAGGTTGTGTCATTTTCGCTTATGGTATATCGTATATCACTGAAAAAAACCTATTTAGGTGATCGTCCGGCAGTTCAACGGAAAAATATATTTAAAAAATGAAAACACTATATACAATTATCTAAATTACAAATCGTTTACTACAGATTTCGCGAGTTATTAAAAGTAAAATTCTAATAGGAATTTTCATAAAGAAATAGAGAAAACATTATACACGAATCAAATTATTTGTAAGGACGTACAAAGAAAATCTTTAATGATAATCATAAATTTAATAGGAATTTTCTTTTTGGTAATATTATGGAACAATACATGTACTAAGTAATTATTTTAAATTTTCTTTACACATTACCTCTACTAACAGGAGTACAAGATTAAGAAATTTTGCATCAATCCAGAATATTCCGTAAACAATCCATATTAGATATTAGAATGGGTGTAAATTTGTCATCCGTTGAAAACGATATATATTTTTCGTCTTTAATTAACGTGAAATAGTTCCATCCCAACTAGATTTTGCGTATTTCCATCTGTGTTTCATATGTCATATGAGATTGGCTTCTAAAGCCGTAGAAAATGAGCTCGTTATTAGAACTAATCAATAGATTAAATAAGAATAAAAAAAGCTTTCCTCGGGAATTTCATCATAAATTCACTTTCTTTATCACTCATTATGAGACGAACGAATATGATGGAAATGTTATTTTATGTCTATCTATGTTTATAATGACATTATTCTAATGTTTGCGTTAGAGTATTTATTCTTTTCATGATTTATTGTCTTATTTATTTTTTCTTACTTGTTGCTTACTTCCTATAACTTTATTAACTATCACGTAATATGTCAATCTGACGAATCAAGTCTTTAAACAGACAGATGTTTCGAGTATTCTGACTAGGAATGTGCACGAACACATCTTTTATATTCAAATCCAAAAATTTTCGATAATAATATAAAACTTCTTAACCTTTCTAGCAAAAAAAGAGGTGAACATTTACAAAAATACAATTTAAAAGTGTGTGTATTTACAGAAAAAGAAGAATTTCAATATATTATGGAAAAGGAAAAATTAAAAAGTTTTATTTACGGAAAAAGAAGAATCCAATATATTACGGAAAAGGAAATCTGAGTGCGGTTTAATTAGGATAGACAATTTATCGTTATCTTATAACCACATATGTAAGATATATATATATATGTATAGGCTGAAAATTTTGTTTGCTTGAGAGCGACAAAAAGCTATCTGACAACATCAACACATATCTACTATTTTATGCAAAAGTATAGCTGAACTATGAAATGTATTATCTGGTCTATTCTCATTAACATCATGTACATAGCAATAGTCTTGTCATCTCCATTTGTAATGACGGCGAACTGATTAAGATTGCGCAGGCGATATTGTTTGCTATGAGGGGTGCTGTACTAATTTTGTCAACCCCAATAAATCTGAGCACTCCAATTTTTATATTTATTGCATGTAGTGTGTTCAAGTTATGCTGTTTTAATAATGACGTATGATAATATATGTATATGATAAATAGTAATATAATCTTTGATTATTGTAATATGCTTTAATTTTAAATTATTATCTATTAGATGATATTTTCGGAACTAACTATAATCACATTCGTTATTAAGGCAGAAATAAATATTTCCAAAAGTTAAATTATCAAACATAACTTTTTAGAATTTATGATATCAACGTTATTTCGACATTGCGTGCACAGTTAGAAAATGTTTGATTTTCTATCAATATTGGATTTTCAAGAGATACATCTCGAGAGACTGTGTAAGGGTATTCGAC